GCCTACGATCATTTCTTTGTGTTTTTAACCTTTTACTGGTGGTAACCGTTGACAACTACTATTTTGATAGTCGCTTCAGAACTTTATTCAAACTTTGTAATTTTTCAACCTGTTTCTTCATTTTTTGGGCTCCATTTTGTCTTTAGAATTTAGAATAATTTCCTTATCACTTTCTGTTTTGACAAATTTTAAGAAAATCTATAAAAGACTCCTGTGAATTTAGAATAATTTTTCTTGTCGAGTTCTGTTTTAATGAAAATTTGTAAGTTCATCTAGTCTCGTGGATTTAAAATATTTTTTTCTCGTCAATGCTTTTTTTGACAAGTTTTAACCAAATCTGTCAAATACCCTCTTTTTTGACTAGTTTTTGTGTTTTCAATCTAGGACTCAAAAAATTTCTCGAAAGACAATCCTCCTTTCGACAATAAATTAAGGCTCTTCTCAAAACTTTTAAGACTACTCGAAATGTAGCATTCTTTCAATAAAGAATGAAGTTTTTCTGCCGGTCTTTATAAAAACATGTTGAAAAATAGTCCTTTTAATAAAATTTTAGGACTTAAATATTTTTACAAGTCCATACTTATCAAAGTATAAGAACTTAAAGTTTTCTTTCATTTTAGTCAAAAAAATATGTTTATGTCACTAATTTTTTAAGTATGTTTCTTCTTGACATGACATAATCTATTTTTTACCACAAAGGTCTGACCAGATCTTTGTAACCTAAAATTTTTTTTTTGTCCAAACACATATAATCTTAATTTATCAACTCTTATAATACAAATTTGAGTCCTATTGATAAACTTTATACAAACTCTTTTTTTTTATGGTGATGTATATCTCCTTTATTTCTTCTAACTAATATAAATCTTTCTGTCACTGATGTTCTGTTTAAACTTCGTCAAATTTATAATAGCCTTAGGCTCACTGTATCAAGTTCAAGTTTTACTCGAATATGCCTTATCATTCAGCTCACAATAGATCACATACTTGTTTAATCTAAACTCTTTCCCCACTCTGTCTAATCACAAAAAGAAAACAAGCATATATTACTCTTCTCCACGTTTGGACAAGAACCTGGTCCGTAGGGGATATGACCAGTGCCATATGCCTATGTCGGAAATACGAGATTGTATGAAGTTAAATTGTGTTATTGTTGTAGAGGGCTAATGCAAAAAAAATTTAAAAAAAAAAAACACACTTGCTTTTAGCCCTGAGAGATTGATTTAAACAATTTACAAGTACTAATTCTAATAACTTCAAATTTTAATAAGAAAAAAAAAACTATAATACATGAAGATAGAGACATAGGGTGAAGCTCTGAGCAGATAGTGTCATTATTATATAGTTCTTGGCCGAATTAATACACCTAATCCTTTCAAGAAATATTCTATCCAGCTTCGAAGATGTACGAACAAAATGTTGGGGCCTTTTTTTCAAACTTCAAACACATATTAAAAGCGATAGCAAACAACCAAGTAGGTTACTTTTGACCAATTTATTTGTAACAACAAAGAAAGAGAAGCAGAAAAAGAAAACGTCAATTATTAGGACAACTAAAATGTGAAGGAAGAATCATACAGAATTCTTCAGAAACCAAAGATAATGATAAGAAAAACCAGTGAAAAAGCAAAACATTATGTGTTGTAAGTGTAATAATGGCTGCTGCTAAAGCTTAGTACAGTTAATGGCTGTGCAAATTAATTAAATATAAACTATATGCTTCACCCTTAAAACAAATAATTAAATACTATTGGAAAATAAACATCCTTGACATGTATTACTTTACAATCAAATCTTCATTGTAGTCATATATATATTTTTATAATTCATATAGTTAGTATAAAAATTTGCCTGTCTATTCTTTTGGGTGAATCATGTCTGCGTTCTACAATCGATATGTACAAACCACGCGGGCTAGATGAATTTTATAACACGATATCTTTTCCCTTCATTTTTAAGTGTACTTCTACTGTTAACATGGAGTGATGCATTGAAACGAGGAAATTAGAAAAAAAGTAAAACGAATACCTTTTTAGGAAAAGGAGCTAACTAATCATTTTCCTTCAAGATAAAAAGTAAAGCAGTTTGTTTAAGTTCCAATCAATAATTTATTATACATGAAATTGAGCACTGTCAGTGACTCATTCTGCGAAGGCAAATTGTTGTATATAACTACTTGTCAAATAGTTATGAAAGTGTTTCTACATGTACCATAAAAAATATTGATTAAAGAATTAATAAACAAAGAGAGTTACTAAAAATTATAATAAAATATATTACTATTTTTTAAAAATAAAACACTGTTTTTAATTAATTTATTTTTAATATGTGTTTAATAATACATAATAAAAAATAATATTATAATCAATGCATTGAATCTTGCAAATTTTAATCACAGTATTATATGATTTTTTATTATATATTGTTAAATGCATACTAAAATTACGATTACCTTATTAACTAATAACTTAAAAGCTCTTTTGAATATTTACTTAATTATAATAGTGTAAAAGTGAAATCTATCTATCTATCAATCTGATATCACAAATTGGTGATTATGATATACCAACCCCGAGAATAGGATAATTAACATGGGAAAGCTTCTTTTGAAGTCAAAAGGCGACATTTTGACAACAAAAACAGAATCAGTGTCTATAAAGAAATAAAGGGTATATATAAAAGTAGACAAGCATAAGAGAAGAGAACCATAGAGAAAGTTTCAACCTGAAAATGAAAAGGGATTCTTTCAGGCTCAGTTTCTTTTTGTCAAGGTATTAAGGAAACTGGATAGAGCTTTAAAGACAGGCCAAACTGGCAAGCTGGAAAGAATTGTTTTATTTTATTTTTTTATTTCTTACAACCTAAATACCTATGTGCTTCTTTCTATCCAATAATTAACTAATTTTAATTTAATTTCTTTAACAGCATGAGGCATGACCATACTCCAAGTCACTTGGGCTGCCTTGCCAGTTGCTATGAAATGGTGAAAGTTTTGAGTTAATCAATAAAAAATCAGTGTATACTGAGCTTCATCATCTTAATGCTCAAACAGATGAACTAATGGGAACGGTGCTTGTTGATTTTACTATGCTATAAAAGTTATTACTAACAAGAAGGGACCACTTATTTGATTAAACCCTAACCACTAAGTCAAAAGCTATAATTGATATCCGGGTTTTGTTTTTGTAAGATGACAAGATATATTTTAGAAGCTAAATTTTCAAATCATTAATAATAAAAATTAATATTTAAAATTTTAACAACTTCATAATTTTGTTATGTATACATCTATATATATTTTATTACAATATCAATCATTATTTTTTAATCAAAATTTAATAATTGTATTTTATTTTTAAAACATAACCTCCTCCTAGAGGAATCAAATCCTTTATAATAATGAGTATAATTTTGTTTCTTTAAGAATCTGTTGTGCTTCATTTAACGTGATGAGTTTCGTCCATTACAGGCATCGATCACTTGGACGTAAGCTCCATCAAATTTCTCGGTAATTATTTATACTTTTTTCTTATTAACTTTAATTTAATATTTAAATATTCTTAATAAAATAGTTTTTTTTAAGACGCCGTTATTTATATACGACAATAGACATCTACGTAAAAAACATGCAAATATGAATCTAATACAGATATAATCAGTAGCGTTAAAACCAATATGAGTTTATAACCATTCAAACTAGAGTCCAATACCACACACGAACGGGATTCAAACTCAGTATCTCATGGGGAGGAATTTTTTTTCCTATTGAGTTCATCAAATAGTTTTGGTTATTATGTCTAAGCTTAATCATATTTATGTCTCTCTGTTGTGCAATGAAAAATTTTGTTTATTCATCTTTAATTGAAGACGATAAAAGGAATTCCACGAAAGGACATTTTCATTAATCCAAAGAAGTGCTCTTCTAATGCAATCACATCTCAAGGTAGGTTGCTGTTTTGGCTAGAGAATTAACTACTGAGGTATGCTTATCTGTAGAACTTGATAGCATCTCATATCTCCAAAACAAATTAATGTAACTGACATGATGATTCTGTATTTGCTATCGGAATAATACTATTTCACCCACCCCTCACTCTCAAGATTAAATTATGATTCAGTGATTAAGTTAATGGATACCACAACTGCCATTTTGAGCTGCTTATATGCGTTGCCTACATTGAAGTTATAGACTTTAGCTATCAGGGTCCTAAGTTGTGTTCGTTGAAATAATATCACTTCAATAAATGTCCGGATGTGTATAAATTGCTACATTTAAAGTTTTGGTTACCATGCTTAAACTTTTCAAAAGCAACAGATCTCTTTTCAGCATATTCAAATTTAAATTACAGATATTCAACATGTTGATTTCAAAATGTTCTTTTTTAAGCTAGGTTTGAACTAACATATAAAGGAATAGAAATGAATGAAGATGATGAAATGATTGGGTTCAATCCTTTCAAAATTCCAAGTACATTGAGGATGTCACGCCTAGTGATCCTTAGAGATGGCCGAACTCAAATTCATATAACCGAATCGCAACGTCGAATTTTTCAAACGAGTCAAAGCAAAAATCCCACCAACTCCAGGCTAGCAATCAATACGGAGAAGGAATTAAGATTGTCTTCTTTTTCCAGAGGACTACCTAACACCAAAACTTTTTCTCCCAAATGACCACGGAAAAGAAATCCCACATTTGCCATAGTATTTTGACTTTGTGAGCAGCATAATATTTCAACCTGAATTGCCAAGGATACTACCTCCAGGCGTCAAATTTCTCATTAATTACATAATTATACCAACGACCAAGACTACAAAGTACAGATCAACAAAGATCAATAGTTTCGAAAGTTTAATGGAAGACCTGTCTTCGTGCCCTTCAAGCTTAATTTAACCCATTAAAGCATATAATCCTAACTAAAGAAAATAAGAAAGCAAATCATTTACTTACTTAGCTTTGATTTACTTTCATGTTTCACAAACACTGGTCGAAACAAAGTTTGCAATGTAGGGAATGTCAGAACTGTAAATAATTATTGATAATAATTGTACAATACACTAAAGACATACTTTCCAACAGATTGCAAGCCTATAAACAAGAATCAGAATTCTGGCAAACTACATACATAAATGGCGAACTAATTTGACTTCAAGAAGCAGCATTTGAAACCTTTGGGTGATCCAGAAACAAATTGGTGCTATACAAAAATTCTATTTTGACCGATCAGTGGCTGCCCTTCCAACAATAAGACTAAGTATTTCACCGGAAGTAAAAAAAAAAAAAAAACAGAAGAGCTTAATGGCAAACTATTTTCATCCTACAATTGCCAACTGGAAGCCGGAATCCCTTGCTTCTGGAACCAATCAGGCATGTGGAACTTTTCATAGAGCACAGGTCTTACATCATTCTGATCAGAAAGTTTCTTGAGAAGTGGAAGAATGACATCTAGAAGCTGATATACATGCAAAATACAGAAGGTGGTGAGTTATTCATCAAATTTTATTTTTTTATTTATATTGGACATGGTGGTTTTAATTTTCGAAAGTACATATCTGAGCACCTGGGTGTCATTTGGCTGCCCAGCAGAAAATGGAATGCATGGAATTCCATTCACTGGTTGCAGTACGAAGCTGAACGGATTATTGTCTACAATGACAATGCGGCAAAGATCCTTTGAGATGCAAGTGAGATCCTTGACATGCTCCCGATATTCCCTGCAAGCATTCAGCATTTATAAGGATGATTGTACAAATTCATTCAGCAGACTCCAATGTGAACTTCAAAGTCAAAATTATGGACCCCAAAATAATTTTAAAATTCCAGAAATGATTCAGATTAGCCAACACAGTGGAAAAAACTAAAAGAAACTCCACACAAACAGCCAACACAGTGAAAGCGAAACAATTGAATTGTAAAATCAATGATGAATACAGACAGTCCAGTACTATTTAAGTATTGAACTATAGCCAGTCGTTGTGATATACTAGCATGATTCAACAGTTAAATTTATACTGACCATAAAAAGAAGAAAGAAAATCAAATGCAATAGTGAACTTTATCATGCAAAACATAGGATTTTAGAAGTAAGATAAATGCAAGAACAGAGAAATTTAAATCACAAGCATAACTCTGGTGGTTGCAACGGGTGGGGATATGGGTATACTGCATAGTTCCCAAAGTTCAAGTTGCGGGAACAACTCATATTTACCAAAAATGAAAACATTCACAAATCAACCAAGAGTCAGTTTGGTTAAACTCCTCAACAAGCACTTATAGTAAAAAGAGAATAAAATCAATTAAGGAAGTAAAATGAATCAAAATTTTCATAAACTTAAACTCCTCTATTCATGAGGAAGTTAGATGAGGAGCTTCTGAAAAATTAAAGATTATACATTAATTTCAACTTATTTAACTCATTTTACCTCTTCATTTTAGCTTCATCTCCTATATGTGTTTGCAGAAAAGTTTATCTGAACTGACTCGAAACTATTTTTCCCATCCCATCCATCTCTGAATGTTTTTGGTAAAATCAACAGAAGAAGCAAGACCTTCACTAGAAAATCCAATCCACACTATCCCTTAGGACTTTGAAGACATTACAATGACCAAAAGATGCACCGTTCTTTAAGACTTGTATACATTTCTTATTGATGTAAGATTACAAACATACATATCACAAGTATAGATGAGAAAGTAATGTCATAAACATAACTACATATATCTGAAAATAAATTTTAATTAAGACATTTAGAAATAATTAAAGAATTTCTGCACAGTTCTTCAAGAACGGCACAAAATTTTCATCCATTTAACTACAGCAGCACACTACAGTCAGATTCAGCACAGGCTCATTCAATCCAATAGAATCAAACATTATTATATAAATGCAACAAATTCCCACCAAATATCGGTGTCTGTGGGTGTGTGCTTTAACAGTGTTGTCAAGATTCAATGATTGCCCCTCCCCCTTAATGAAGAATACAGTGATAGAGCATGAAAACATAGGTAGGTACCAGGAAAAAAAGAAACAGAGGACCATAATTAAAGATTAAATGGATCAAAATAATAACTCACATATAGTTGGCGGCCTACCAGCAATAAAAACAGAAAGATTAATCATGCAAAACAGAATACTGGATTTGAAGAGAGGAAGAAGCCCTTACGTGCTAATTGTTGATGGCCGATAAAGTCGTAGACTGAATCGATTTTCTTTGTCTATCCTGTCAACAAGGGGTCTAGCATAGCCTGAGAGAATTTAGAGCCATCCATCATTCAGAAATGTTGAACATAATTCCTAAACAATGACCGTGAACAAGTGCAGCAGGTTAGTATTTTGTGACAAACCTTCAAGGCCAGCGGTAAACAGCACCAAGTCAGCAAATTCACCAAGTTGCCTTAAGAATTCCTTCAACCCAGGGCGTTCAAAGACTGTAACATAATTGATTTTTTGTTTGCCTTCTCCTTCCTTGAAAATTCAACGTGCCCAAGTGAAAATATAATATTCTAACTAAGGACACACAACAGAATATAAACTACAAAGTAACTTACCTTGTCTACGGATACACATTCCAACTCAAACCAATTTAAACCAGCTTCAATTGCTTGAGTCCGTAGTGCAGCTGGCAAACTTGATGTCTCATATGCACATACCAGGGTTTCATCCAAGTCAAGCACAACCTACAATTGCACAAGTAAATATCAAAATCTACATTAGCAACAGGAAATTTGTAATGAAATAGTAACAGAAGACTTGAGGAGGGGAGAAAGTAACCTAAAACACAAACATGAAGAATGAAATCATTTGCAATCATATAACAGCTCATCAAAATAATAATTCTGATATCAGTTTTCCTTTCTTGTTTCCCATCTAACCCAAAAAATTTCAAACCACGGCATTTTTCCCTTCTGTTCAGAAATTCACCTCATAAATTTTCTTCATTCAAATGTTAAAAAACAAATTACTATGCCAAGGATAAATATAAGATATGAAAATTAAAAAAATATGACAACTCAATGAGAGAAGCTACACACCAAATATCAATAAGGAAGTTTTAAAAACAGATTATCATTTATTATTAAAGGTAAACTAAGGAAACTGTCAGCACACAGCAACACAAGAACAACATAAAAATATAATAATCGCCGCCATTATAAGAATCCAAAACATGATGGATTTTTAGCTTCAAGATCAAATGCATATGTTGTGACGAAAGTCACTCAACTCTGAGGCAAGTAACCGCAATCAGTACACACAACCACGCCCAGAGGACTAGCTTGTACAATCTACAATCACAATTTAAATGTCATAAAATACAAGAAAGGATTTCAAACCCTAGTCCAATATTTTGTCTTTTGTCTAAGAAGCTTCTACAACCCTCTGAGATGATAAAAGTCGACCACTTTCCAATTTGTGGGAGCCAACAAAACCATGCCAATTAACTTTATAATATCCATCTTCATGTGAAACCAAACCAAACCAAACCAAAACCAGAACAACCAGAGAGTCATGCTTAAACAAAATCCAAACACAAAATAAAAAAAGCAGGCAATAAAAAAATAAGTACCAAAACAAGAAGACAGCAAGGAAAAGAAGCAACAAAAAGCAAGAAATCTTTACAACAACATAATTTTACAAGAAGCTAATTTGAAGTATAAACAGAAGACAAAACGTATCATCTTTATCCCCCAAACAAAGATTCACCAGCGTAACATGCTCAGGGATCTTCAACCACTACAAACACTTATATATTACCATGCTCCTTAGACCTTAGATACATGCATATTTCAGCATCCTTCCAGCCCCAAGCGATTCTCCTCACAAGCTCAAACTCATAAGGAGAAAAACAATTCAAAATAAAATAAAATAAAATTATAAAGTCCTCAAAGGAAACAAGAGAACAATATTCTACTATAAACACACAACAGCATGCATAAACATCACTCACTAAACTCAAAAACAACAAAATTAATTTTTTTTATTAAAAAAAAGAGGAACGGTTGATTGCGATGATACCGTGAGTTTCTGAAGAGGAGGGCGATCGGCGGGGGGATAATCAACGGCGGTGATTTCGAGAGCAGAAGGAGGTGGCGAATCGTGTTCCTGAAGCTCAACGGAGGGAAGAGGCTTGAAGGAAGAAGAGGAAGATGAAGAAGAAGAAGAGAAAGAGAGTAAAGGATAGTGACCGAGGGCTCTGATAATCTGAAAGAAGATCTGAAAGAAGAACGCCAACCAGCTCAACAGTGCTCTCCACACTTGCTGAGTCCTCGGCGAGTACACCTCCGCCTGAGTCAACTCGCCCATATCCGATTGATATATATAGATGGATAAATAAACTTACCCTAGCCTCCCAACGATGCCGTTTCTCAATCGCTTCTGCTTCCGATTGCGATTTTCGATTGTGCCGTCGTGCGTACGATTTCTAATTTCGCGTTTCTCTCTCTCTCTCTCTCGCTCTCTCTCTCTCTCTCTCTCTTGCTCCTGTGTGAATGTGTGATTTTCAGAGAGATGTGGTCATGCTACTGCTTCGACGAGGTCTAGAGAGAGAGAGAGCGATACAACAGAGAAAGAGAGGGAGAAAGGGCAGCAAAGAATTTCGCACGCGCTTAGATTGCGCGTCACTTCCATGGTGGCGCGTTTAGTACAAAAATATAATAAATTGGTTCTCTATTTTATTTTATTTTTTTAAGTATTTGGATATTTTGCTTTTCTGCCGGTATCGGACAATGGCCTTATTATTGCTGAAAACTCACTTCTTTTCGTAAATATTACAGTTATTTTTAAGAAAATCTTAACTTCAATCACTTCTTTAAGTGAGTTTAAATAAATAACAATAATATTTTTTATTAAAATTAAAAATGTTTATTATTTTTTTATTTTTTAACAAAAAAATATGGAAGTTTGTTACTTTTATCGTTACAAAGTTGAATAATGAAACATGGATTTCTTAAATTTGTCATTTTCTTGTTACCCAGCTGTATTATACTTAGTTATCAATACTTTTTCAAGGCTTTAACTTTCCAATCATGAACTTGGTTTAATAGTTCTCTTTCCAATTTAGACTAAAAGCCAATATTAAGATTCGAAATAAATCGGTAACAAATCAATATTATGATTAAAAAAACAATACATGCGATAGGGTATTTATTTAAACTGTACAAGTTAAAATGTTGAAAATAAAAGTAATAAATAAAGAGAATTGCTATTAAATATACGAGGATATAAATTATCATGAATATCTGGATATCTGTTCAATCTGCGTGAGCCTACAACATTTAAATAGACCATTTCATATAGAATTCATAGGTGTATACGATTTCTAAACACTTTTATCCTTGAATGTGCTTCTACTATTTAATTCATCTATTGCACCTATGTTATTAGACTTATAGTTGTCAAACAATTAAATAATTATATTTAATACTGAAAAACGCGTTATATGGGCCAAAAATGATCAGAATTTAAAATAAAATAACAAATATGTATGGTAAATGAAATTATCTTAATAATGAATTATAATATATAAAAAAATTATTTTGTGTCATCCTGTGACAAGAGGATATACATGATTTCAACTAATAAATTCTTAAAAATTTTGATAGTTAATTTAATAAAAACAAATAATTACATTTTGAAATGATTTAATAAAAAATTCAAATAAATATAGCTTAAACTTTGAATTCGTTTAATGGCTAAATAAAATTGTCTCACTTAAACTTCAATTCTTGGTTGTTGTGGTCAGTGATTCGTGATTCGAAATTTGAAATTAATGCTTTAAAAGGAATTCACTTAATTATTAGTCTGGAATCGAAAAAGTTAGTCTTATTACGGTAATTTTGTAAATGAGGATAAGAAAGTAAAATTTAAGTATAATATTTTTTAACGCTATTTCGAATTGAAATTTAAATATTATTTCAGTAATTTATGAAATAAACATTTCATTTTATTATCAAAGCAAAATATTAATTTTATTTAAAGATAAGAAAATTATTAATTAGCATTTTTAGTTAAAAGCTAATATAATACATATTTTTTGAAAAATTTTAAAATGAAATAAAATATGAGAATAAATTATAATTATTATTATACTTTAAATTAAACATTTAACATTTTTATTCTTTATTTAATATTTTTAAAAAACATAAATTATTTTATAAATTTTTTTATAAATTATATTAATAATTTCACGTAATTAAGTTGAAGTATCTAAAAGTATTATTTTTTATTCAACATTATATTAAAATGAATAGATGTAATAAATATTCTTAATAAAATTTATTATAAATAATAACTTAAATCTAATTATTAAAAGTTTGTATTAATAAATTGTATCTAATTTTTGTTGATAAAATATTATACATTGGGAGACTGGTGATGGATGACTGGGGCAATGTTTATAACGCGCTGTGAAGGGACGTGAGGAAAGAGGATGTTGATTATTAGAACGAGCAAAGAAGTAACAAATGATATCAAGGAACATGAAGGTACGAAGGCACAGAATCAGCCAATGAGAAAAGACAATGTTAGAGTCTTTAAAGAGGGTTTTTTTGGTAAAATAGCAAGGAATTAAAAATATTATTAATGTATTTTCTCTCAGTTTTTGATATAATTTAACATAGTTTTTATTTTTTATTTTGCATTTAACATTTTTTAAATACTAATTTACAGCATTATAATAAAAAGTGAATTTTCAAAGAGGTAGATTATAGTTTCCTAATAAAAATTGATGGATTCACGGACAGGGGTGTCAGGATCCGAAAAGACGGGTGTTTGGAAAAATAATTGACCTAAATATTTATTTAAGCAATCTTTTATTATATAAAGAAGTATGTTATAAATTTAATATATAATTTTAAAAAATATGAAATTATAAACCCAAGCAAATATATATGTTTAATTTAGAATTTGAAAGAATTATTTATAATAAATTAATTTTAAGATGTTAAATATGATTAAAACACATTAAATTTATATATTTATTTTAATATTTGTGTTTTTTATTAAAATGATGAAATTTTTTTAAAAAAATATTAATATTGGTGACAGTCAACAACGAAAATGATACTTATAAATTATTTACTTGTTTTATAAGTTGATTTAATTTATCTTTTTTCATTAAAAAACAACAATGGAAAACCTTGAGGAATTGAAGACAGAGTTACAGAAAATATTTATTTTGAAGTACAGTTATCATTAACTATGAAGCACACTTCATAATTTTTCTTTATTCCTGTTATGAAATGCCAAGATAAATTTGTTTGGTAATGTTTTGTACCTTTAAACAATAAACTCCACACTAAGGACAACTTGTATGGTACGTGTTTATAAGAAGAAGCTTAACTGCGTTTAGTAAAAAATAAAAAAAATAAAAAGATTAGTGTTCACTGTACCCTCCCAAAAATCACAAACACCAAGAAAGAATCTAGTTGAAAAATGGTGTAGTTACATAATCATTTTTATATAATTTATTTATTTGTAATTTAAATAAATAAAAATAAATTTTATATTTTATTTTTACTTGTCTAAATACTATTTTTTACTCTGTTTCTGATGTTTGTATATATTTTTTCTATTTCGTCGTCTTTGAAGGTTAAAATAATAAGTGTTTCACTATTTATGAATGAGTGAAAATTTGTGGCGTGCGTTACACATCACAGTGTCATGCACCGACCAGCGGTCAACGTTGTTGGGGAGATGAGTAGATCTTTCCAAATCTAATACTGTCTTAGATTTATTGCCTGGTCGTTGAAATCATAAATTGTAGTTATGTCCCTATTTATTATACCATCTCATATCTCAAAATTCAGTTTAAATAACTAATAATGATAAATTAATATACTTTTAAATTTTTAATATAATAAATTTTCTTAATATAAAGTTTTATTTCTAAGACAAATACTTAAATATTGGTTAAAAATAAAAAATATGTATGAAAAATGTAATTACTAAAAATTGAGTCAAATTTAAACAAATTTGACTTGACTTCATTAGGACTTTAAAATTTAGACTTGACTTACTGATTTGTTTATGATATTTTACAGACTTTTAACAATATTTTATTTACTGATTATTATTTAATAAACATTGTCACGTTAAAAATAAAGTATTAAAAATATGAAAATAAGAATGTTAAGAAAAATAATAATTCTCAACATTTTCTACTCATGATTCAAAAATTATTTTTCTTGAAGCTTGACGGGTTTGGTATTTTCGAGATAGATCGAGCATTTACAATTCAATCATACAAACTATGCCTTTGAGCTTAGTTGAATCATTAACCATGATTTCATTAAGTATACATACATAAATAAAAATTCTTAAATGATTTAGCGACTAGTTGTTAGTTTAATTAATTTTGAATTATTTAAAGATAAATATCACCAATCATAAATATACATAGTTATACATCTATATCTTTCATATAAATATTTATCAAGTTAGGTCATAAACTAAATGAATTCAATTATCCTTGGTTTAAGTTTAACTTGTTAGTGAACTAACTTATTTCATAGTTTAAATTAAAGGCATTTAACAAAGCATGGGTTGAGAATTGAACTCATCGGCCTTAGCCTTTTGGGAGACAGAGTTGTAAAGCAAAGGCCCATTTCGAAGTTCTTCTTGTTCAACATCTTTTAAAGTTTGATGGCAAAAAAAAACCAAATTTTTAAGTTAAAGAAAGTGTGATTTTCATTATTCTTCTTTTCTTCCCTTCATTTTATCACTGAAGCCCAATTTACTTACCAGCAACCTCAATTGATAGTTCTAACATTGTTAGGTGCTGGCAAATTGTTACTAAAGAAAACGGTGCTGACAAAACCCATTTTTTGTTTATCTTAAGTCTTCGTGGATGATCATTTGTTTTGACTTTTGGTCATCTTTCTTTACTATCGGGCTAGGAAACTCATAGGACGAGGAAAATTCTCTTTTGGTTCAAATAAGCAATGCTAGTTAGATGCTAGAGTTTGGATTAGTTAATAAAAATAAACTATTTTAATAATTGATTGTATCTATAATCAATTAGTGTGTATTTGGATTAGTTAAAATAAATAAATAATTTTAACAATTATTTTTTTATAATTGAATTTCTTAAATAAGCTATTTTTAAAAAAATCAAAGATTATAGGCTCATTTTCAAAGACAATTCAAATAAAAATGAACACTAATTTTTTTCTGCTTTTTCACATAATCTACAAAAATAATTCTATCCAAACACATATTTATTGTGACAAATTAATTATATAGAGTATGATTTATAATATATTAAGTCTGTGTTTGGACTAGATTATTTTTTGTGGACTCTGAAAAAAGTTATTTATTTTGTTTGGTAAATTTTAAAAAAGAGCCTATAATTTTTGTTTAATTTTTTCTATAAAGAAAAAACTTATTTAGGGTAAGCAAAATTAGTTATTTTAAATATAAAACTAACTAATTCATATATATATGTATATACCCTAAAAAAATTATTATTTTATGCAATCCAAACATAACTAACATGAAAACTTCTATGAAAAACTATTAAGAATGACTAAGCCTCCCTAGTAAAGCTAATAATTTCTACTATAGTTTACCTAGCGATAACCCGTTGTAATTAAAGAGCAGTAAAATAACATAAAAAAAGTCTGATTTTCTTAATTAATTAATTAATTTATGAGTCATTTCATGAATACATCTTTATATTATTTAATATTTTTTAAAAATATTAAAAAAACATATTTTCTTTACATTTCAGTATATCTTAAACATTGTTAATAAAAGTAGTCTACAGTATCATTATAATTAAGAGACTTTTTCAAAAATTTATCTTTTTTATAATTTAAACTTTGCTCTCATCGTGACATAGTAAAATATATGTTAAAAATAAAAATAAAAATATATACCCTTTAAATTTTTTTTTTGTCAAAACTATATTTAAAGATGTTCCATTAATAAGCATGGATACATTTTAATGAATGATAAATTTTATTAATTTAATTGTTAAATTAAAATTTCTTATAATATATATTAGAGAAAGATCTTTTTTATATTAGTAAGTTTAAAAATTCTTACACTCAAATTAAGTTTTTCATTTAATTTATATCTAATGGTCAATAAAGTAATAAATTATAACCTATTAAATATAAATTAAATAAAAGATTTAAATCAAATATAAAATTTTTTAAACTTATACTGTGAAAAGATCCTGCCCCATAGTATACAAAAATTTATATAATTTAAAAATTAATTATATTTCCTTATTCTAGTTTATTTTAATGAATAACTTATTATTTGAAATATAAGTAAATATTTGTTATTAAATTACATATTTATAAATGTCTAAAGTATCTAAAGTTTGATATATATTTATTAGAATAAATTATTACATAATTAAATAAGTAAATCAATAAAACTTAACTAATAAAAGATATAAATTCATGATGAAACCCCTGTATTATAAGACTTTAAGTTGGAACCAAAAGGGTGCGCGAAAATGTTATTCTGATAAGGCTCAAACCTCCCAATTCATGGAAGGCAAAAATAATGGGTAAAAGTTCTGTACAAAGAACAAACTATTAATCAACAGCAAAAAGAAAAATATACAGCATGAGAGTGAACTCACTTCTTGTTGCTTATAAACAAACCAAAATTGTGATTGCAAGCTTTGCTATATGCAGAAAATAAGCTCAAGAGATCATGACTGATGTGGATAACTCCCAACAGTAATTACGGAATTTTCCACCAGAGAAAGATGTTACTTGGACTAGTAAACACAGGAAAGCCATGGATGCTTCAGGGCTTGTCTTGCAGTAGGCCTTCCTTTAGGATTGATTCTAAGCAAGTATCTGACAAAGTCTATAAACATAATATCAGTAACCTGTAGATGTTGCTCCAATGATGATTCCTCTGGAATTATGTACTCCAATTGATCAGTTTCCTGTGTATTGTTTTCAGTATATTAAGAATTAGTTGGAAACAACTGAAATGGAATTTGAAAGGAGGATTCCATTTTGCTCATAATAGAAAGGCCATTTTTTTTCAATTTATTGAGCATAACTAGTATATATGTACACTCCCCTTTCAATCACTCTACTTTCTGTCTCAAAATACATGTACTAATCAATCCGAGATTTTCTTCACATCAAATTTACCTTGTTTGCTAACATATTCTTAAAAATATAGTGGATTTTTTTATTGATAATAGCCAATGAAAATTTGAAATTGAGCACAATGTGGATTAATAAGAATATAATTTTTTGTTTAGCAAGAATGGAGAATTTAATCTGCTGGATTATAACAAGCTATTACTTCTAGAAACAAGAAGGGAACTTTTTTCTGCCTCCTTATAATAAATAAGTAATTGTGACCTATACTCAACACTGATAAGAAGTTTTTGCCCCTTTGATTTCATGAAAAACGAAAAATGAAAAATAAAAAATGTTAACCTTTTTATAAAAAATGGAAGGCTATGAATTGAAGGGATAAAAATGGGAAACAAACCTCATTCACATAGTAAATATCATATTCTTTGGTAAAGTACTTGTGTGTTTCCTGCCCTTTCACCAACATCTCTAGATCAATAGGACCAAGCATTCCAATCATGCGTGCAAGAATCATCACAACTGCATCATTTGGAAATAGTACCTACAGAAGTAAAAAGAACTCAGGATGAATAAATAACAAAGAAATTAAGTTATTCCGGGATTATATTAGCTTAGCAAACTGAAAAACTGATAAACATCTATGAAAGAAAATAAAATTCCATGCTCACGTTAAAACCATAGAAAAATGTATTTAATCAATATCATGATAAAGGCATATTAGAACATACTTCACCAGAGCATAACTCAGCCAATATACAGCCTAGAGACCATATATCAATCCTTTCATCGTATTGAAGGCCTAACATCACTTCAGGAGCCCTATAGGATCGGGATTGTACATATAGGCACAGATTGTCTGTTTGAAAGCAACTGCTTCCAAGATCAATGACCTTTATCTCACATCTTTTATAACTTTTGATTAGAATGTTTTCTGGCTTCAGGTCACAGTGAACAATTCCCAAGCTATGCAAGTATTGCAATGCTTCCAAACACTGTCGAGTAATGAACTGCAAATAAGGATAACAACCCTGATCATTTAGTCAACTTCTCAATTTCTGACACAAGGAATTCTATTCAAATTGCTGAATTAACTATGTAACAATGGATAGGCAATGTATTAAAAGGATCAAGGGTGCTCTAGAATTCAGACAACTAGTTTGAACAAACCTGCAATCTGTTCAATGTAAAATATGCTTCCCCTCCTGATTCTTGGTTGAATTTCTGAAATTCATATAAATTTGCTCGCAGAAGTTCAGTTACAATGAATAAATGCTCCTGTAAAATTTTAATTCAAGATACGTGACTTAAAAGTTAAGATTGAATGGGACGGGAGAAGATATAGAATGAACTGTTAATAAATTTTCATTAGGTCATTCTAAAATCTACATGAAAAGGATTTAGTTGTGCTTTTGATAGTCCAAACTTTTTTTGTATTATTTTGCAAATATTTTGGATATAGCTTGAGCTAAACATTTCTATAACTTACATGAAATCAATGCAGCTGTTCATTACATACCTGATGGTAGAAATAGTCATAAAGACGCAAAATGTGGTGTTCATCTGCTGGGTCATGCTTATTGACAAGTTTCAGAAGTTTGATTTCATCTAAGCTTTGATCAAAAAAGTCTTTGTCATTTTTAATAATCTTCAGGCAAACATCTATTCCTGTCTGAAGATCATGTGCCTGAACAACCCTACTGAAGGCAGCTGAACCAAGATATTCTGTTACATAATATCTGCCAGCCAAGATTGTATTCAGCACAATGGGCAGTTCCTTGTTTTCTTCAAATCCAGTCCTGTAGATGCAATAATGGATGGTAACAAATTATACTCAAATGCAACGTAAGTTTATTTAAAATACCTAAAAAGCAAAGGTGAAAAGCCATAATGCAAATTCCATAAACACCGAGTCAAAATCATCATGAACTTGGTTAATGCCAACAAAGAAAAAAATTGAAGGCTCAAAAATAAGGAAAGTAAAAGCCAACAAAGTCGCATTTAATTTCAAACTGTTAGTCTCCTACACATTCAAAATCAAATTATTCACCGGCATTACCAAGAATAGTTGGTAGAAATGAGAGTTTAGGATACAAGAACATCTTTCAAGCAATACCTGTTCTTTCTATGTATAATTCTCAGATCAAATACTTCATATTCATCCTCTTGAGTATACTTTAAGAGCTCATCATCAGTAGCATCCTCTCCATCTGCAGCAATCCCTGGATCTTGGCACTCTTCAGCTATTTCTCCACCATCTTGTGCTTTGTAGGTGTCAAGTCCATTTGGTAGATCATTTTCAGTAACTTGGATAGTTAAGTCATAGGGACCCTTGTAGTCCTTAATACTGTCATTTTTACTGTAGTAGTCAAAACTTTTATTCACAGTCAGTTCTGAAGTAGAATCAAAAGAGTTAATATCGCCAACAACCTTCAAATGAAAATCATTCAGATGAATTTCCTTCAAATTAGGGTAGCCAAAGTTTGTAGGGTCCACACTACAAGAATCTCCCGAACCTGGAGAGCTTTTGCAAAATGGAAGTTCACAACTACAGGCTACAGCGTGTTTCTCAGCCTTGTCCTCTAATTCCCCTTCAAACTGATCTTTGTTATCAACATGACAATAACCCTTTGAACAAGTCACATTTCCATCCTCTACGGACGAATGATTATAAAGACATGCCTTGTCCATGTAAGCACCATTTCCCTCTAATTGAAATTTTTCATTGTTGTAATCACGGTCCAGAGAATCGTCATGTTGATTTTCTGTTTCTGCTGTCATGACAAACTTGTCTTCGCTTTGACATCCAAAGAAATCTGGCCCTTCGAAACTTGGAGTCATGAAATAGTCTTCATCTTTTTCGTTATACCAATATGGTTCATTTTGCATATCAAATTCGTGATAATCCCGAGCCGTGCCAAACTGAGATAATCTATCAGATGAAGAATCAGAATCATTCTGAGTCTGAGATGCAGAGCGAATTCCATACGGATTGATAAATTCTGCAAAAAAAAAAAAAAAAAAAAAAAAAACTAGGCTTTAGAATGCTCTATTCAAGTACTACCATTGATGAATTGCAATCAACTAAGCAATAAAAAAAAAGGGAATACAATTACCCCAAATAATTGATAGAAGCATGAGGATACCAAATGGCATGTGAGGTAATGCACAAGCAAAAGTGAATTATGATTTGAATTTTTTATCATTAATTGAATTTATTACCAAATACAGTGGGAAATGAGTAAAGATAAATGAATTGCGTTTGCGTGCTCAGGTTAATTCTTTTCTTATTGATGCTTTTTCAATAACCAGCCCTTAAAACATACAAACAAGAACGAAGCATGCTGAATACAACATGCATTTGAGTTGTAATCAACAGCACAAAAATACAAATTTGGATGATCCATTATATGATCCAAATATACAAATTGAAACTACCTAAAAAAAATTAAAATAAAAAACCAAGCATCAACTAAAAACAGAAAGTAAAACCCGAACACTTCAGCGATCAAATCGAACATAGGTTCTGATTTATGAGCAAGAAAAAGCATTCAATTCAAGAAGAATAACAGAGATTGAAAACATAGCACAGTAGAAAACTATTAAGGTCTCTTCGTTACTTCTAACCCAGTTTGATCACTGACCAACACATGCAATTCAGCATCAGCAAAAAGCAATTGATTAAAATTTGAACAAGAACAGAGACTCTAAACTCAAAGCACCTGCAGAAGAAACACGAGAAGTAGAAGAACCGATGCTGACAAACTCATCGGAACTGGATTTGGAGCAGTCGCCGGCGGCGAGCTCCGACGATCGCACTCTGACCGGAGGCGGAGGCGGCACCATGGGGAAGAAGAACTTCTCGTAGTCAAAGGTTCCGAGATCAGTGTTGTTGATGATGTCTTCTCTGAGAGCAGACTCTGCTTCCGACAAGCCATTTTTCCTCAGAAACTCTAACACAGCTTCGACGCCGTTGGACACAGCCATGGGCACGACAATACCAACTCACAAACGTTGTTGTTTTTGCTGACTGAGCCTTAGGGGCAGTGACATGTGAATTAAGAAACATGGGAGGGACAAAAGTGTAATTAAGCGCATGGTTTGTGATGTGCATGCCATGGTAGGAATAGATTGAAGAAAGAGATAAAGATAGAAATAGAAATAGAAATAGAGAGATTCTCTCTCTCTCTCTCTCTCTCTGTGACTATGTTTTCTGTGTAAAACATAAGCCAGACCAAGGGTGCCTATGTCTTACCAACTTTGAAAAGATTAAGAGAGAGAAAGAGAGGTTTACGTTTGCACTTTGGTGGGGCCAAAGATAGTATCAGTTGTGGGATGTGACACGTGTAATTATCATGAGGTGTCCACGTCACATTCCTATTTTTCTCTGTTTTGTTTTCTTTTTATGGTGAGAAGTCAACATGGTATGGGACCATCTCGTTTTGCTTTTTTTTTTCCCTTCTTCTTTTTTATAAATAGTAGTTTTTACTTTTCATTTCCAGAACATGTTTTTCGGGGTTCTTTTATAACTTTTTCTCTCTTTTTTCGGTGGGGGACTTCATTCTTTTTCATGAAAAAATTAAATGAATAAGTCATCAAAATATCTAATTGGGATAATTTTGATTTTTCTAGACCAAGTGAAAATATATTCACTCTATTAGTTGTTCAGCCGCCTTAATCTTCCTTTTGCTTCGAATATTCTCCTATGCAATTTTATATCCTTCTTCCCTTGTTTGATTGTAAACTAAACAACATTCAAAATAACTGCACCATTTAGAAGTCTAATAATAGAATATAGGGTTATTGCTAATATGGACAAAATGCTTTCATAAGCAAATGTGGCTGAAGGCTGTGGCACAGAGAAAGAAGAGGTCAAAGATATTTATTTATTTTTTTCTGTTTTGTAAGTGTGGATGTCCTCATTAGGTGATTTTAGATTGCTATGTTTTGAGAATATAATAAAACTGTGATGATAAATAAAGGAGAGAGAAAGAGATAATTCACATAGAAGCAAAGATTAATAAAATAAGTAGGACCAGATGCACATGTTCAATCTTAAGAGTAAATTGAACTTTTACTGGTATAACCTACTTTTGATTGGAGGGTATCGTGAAATCAATAGCACAGACCCACCATTGATCATAATAATGTTTCTCAATTCTATGAAACTGAGTCGCTACCCACTGCTTTCTTTTCCAGGTGATCAGTCACCACACCACACTCAGCACTCACTGGGCTGGTATGAAGAATCATTAAGCTCTTTTCTCCCCTCTTTCCTTTGTTCCCTTTACAATTATTGTTGTCCTTACCCTTCTTTTTGTTTTCTTTTCAACCTTTTTTTTTTTTTTTTTCCCTCTTTGGCCCTGTACAGCATTTGAATTTCAAATGAGTTGCCCGTTAGTGAGGCCACACGAAACATGCCAAGTTCTTTAAAATATGTCACTTTTATATTTAATATGAGGATAAGTGACAGGTTGTACATATTGCATGGCTGAACCTCAAAGCATATATATGATAACTTTCAAATAAATGTCACAAGTGTAAAAAAGGTTCTAATTTATAACATCAGCATAAATTTTTAGATTTCCTCTTTGAATTGCATAAAATCTAAACTAAATCTAGGCAGTGATCCATAAATGGGGTGCCAAAGTTGTTGGCAATGTCACTTCTTAGCGTGTTAATATTAGGGGGTAGTTTCATGGTTTAAAAGGTCGTGAAGTTCTAAATATAGACAAATAGGGTGCATAAATGCAATTTTTTGCAATGTTACTTGCAAGGTTGGAAAAGAATTATTTTAACCCAATGTCAATCTTAGATTGCTTCTTTGTATGGACAAGACCCCAATCTAAATGGTCAAGTATCATTATCCCTAACAAAATAATTGACTTTTCTTTTCTCTCTCTTTTCAAAACTGAAAACATTAAGAGGTGGGAGAATATTGTAATATCCCCGCTTAAACTCCAGAGAAAAAGAAACAATTGTTTGAGTTGCTCTCTGTCCCTCAGATCCAAAGAGCGAACTTTGAAAATGAATATTTTAAAGGAAACAGAACCTTTCTTTGTGATGATAACATTGTTTTGATTTGATTATTGCAAAAATTAATTTGTATAGCTGAAAATGTGGGCTCTGTGCATAGTTAATTGCTTTCTTGAATTCCCACGTATGACTATAATTGTGATTGTCAACATTGGAGATCTCTTTGGATGCCCACGTTCTGAAGCACCATGCGCAGATTGAGGAGTGGAAGGAAATAGGGCACAAAATTGATAGTTTCCTAATCCCAATTAAAATGAAAGTGACTCAAGGAATAGTGGGAGACCAACAAAAAATATTCTAGAAAATTATTTGGGGGTAATGATTGCTACTTAGTGTTTAATCAGAAATACAATTTTGGGACATGATTGCCATCATGAATCCCCCAGATTAAAAGCCTGTTTATTTGTGTTTTTTCTAAGCAACAATATTTAAAATATGCTAAGATTTTCCCTTACAATAAATATGCAATATAAAAAATGTACAATCGCTAGTTATAGTGTAAATAACCGACCCACGACTTTAAATCAATACACTTGAAGAAATCAAATATATAAACCCTTCCCAGTTCAACACAGTGAAATGAAGTAGAAAAAAAAGTGTGCATACAACTTTTTACACAGATATTTGAAAACACAAGAAAATAAAAGCAAGATGATATTTTGTAATTAAAAATAAAAATGAAAATAATTTTTCAAACTAAACAAGTCCGAATGTAGTTTCTTTCTTTCTTTTTTGGGGTACAACTCATGGGCCCTTATTTTCAATAAGCGTGCCCAGCTTGGGCCTTCAGGACTAAGTCTTCAGTTTTAGCTTCTCTTCACTGTTCATCAACTTCATTTGACCCAATAAAAAAAGCTCACCGTTGATTAAGAATTAAATATTCTTTAGGTTCACATTAACCAACTGGTTTAGTCTCGGAGGAACAATGAAATGAAAGAGTACGGTTCTTCACTAACCACTGTTGAGAAACCAAAACATTGCTATATATGGTAAAGACATACAAGGCACGAGTACCGATACCAAGAACCACACAACTCCAACTATGGCTTTTTAAGTTCATAAAATTATGAAGCAATAACAAATTAATATGTATCAGCTTTGTTAATTTGAGTCTGCTAATTGATTTTAAGAATATAAAAATATTAATTTTTTTTATCTTTAACCCTTAATATATTATGCTGAGTAATTCAATAATAAAATAAAAGTAGAAATTATTCTTGTGTCAAAGATTTTAATACTATTATTCTTGATGAAAAAATCAATATATCTATTACCAAGAATTTACACATCGTTTTGGACTAACTTTGATTTACACATAGTTCCATATAATTTACCATCTAGCTTAACAATTGTATAAGGTCTAAACTAGAATTCGCTATTGAAATAATGTTTCTTTAGAAAAACCTGAATTTTCTCTCTCACACTGGCTAATGAAATTTTCCTGCTTCGAAGTTGAAACAATGGGAATGGGAAGAGGCCCCTCGAAAATCTTGAGGCCTTTCTTCTTTTGGTTTTGCAGGAGATACTGTTAAATGCAATCAATCACTCCCGCACTTTATCACTATCATCAATAGTTTCCTTTTAAAAACCAAATCTCACACAAATCTGTCTCCATATCAATAATAATTACAGTCAAAATTTAAATCTACCAATATATATCTCCCAAAAGATTCAAAACAGGAATTGGAATCAAAATTTGCCTCACTTTCTTATTCAATAACTTCAACTCTATCTGTGCATGAGTTAAGAAAACATACTAACTGTGAACATCATGTTCATATAAAGTTTGTTTTCAAATGAAATTAAAACACGTTAAAAAAACTTGTAGATGTACATCTAAAACAGGAACTTATAATTAACAGTGTTGATCAACTTTTGGAAATACACACAACATTTTGCTAGTAAAACCTGCAACTGCAAGCCATCTAATCGATGATGATAATTAGATTTAGGATATTTCTTTCCAACAAATATCGTTATTTAATTTAATACTAACTCCTCATAATCATAGTGTTAGAGATATATAAAACCATTCTCAATTCTTCAATTACAAATTAAACTTCTAAAATTGTTCATCCTTTTACACATTAATTATGTCCTGCAAAATATGTGTATATACACTGCTTTTTTTTAAAAAAAATGAAGAATCCAACAAAGTATATTATAAATACATCATAAAAAGTTAAAGTAACTTTTATATCGAAGAATAAAAGTCAAAGTAATGAAAATTCTTACGGGAACTAATTAAAAGTAAAGCAGAAAGAAGAAAGTGCCGTTAATTAATCACAAAAGGGATTGCCATAAGAAATAGGGGATTTAAAAACTTAAGATACAATTCGTGCGCACTAAACTTCTTCAAAAATATAAAAGGAGTGTTTTTCAACTATAAGGGAGGTGATAAATTTTTAAAAAAAGATATTTTCCTTTTTCTTGTAGTTGTGGTTAATTTCTTGTAGATCAGTTGCTGATTCTCCAACTTCAAAATGGGTTTAGGCTTTAGCAAATGAGAAAAGGCAGAAATGATGATAAAAATCTAATCTAGGAGGTAGTGTGTGGTTTTATTTAATGATGTATGGCTTGCTCCTTTCTTATGTTTAAACCAGGTTATATATGAATTTAATTGCGAACATTTTATTATATGATTAAAAGTAAAGTATCCCTTGTAATTTTTCAACAATATTTCGGATTCTGAAAAAGTTGTAGTTTTTGCTAGCTAGCACAAAGGGTGAAAAAGAAAGAGGAGGATGAAGGATGAAAAAGAAAGAGAAGAAGAAGAGCAATACATAGCGTAAGGGTACGTCTAAGTTCATAAAAGAAAAAGAAATAATTGTTGACATACCATTAAAATTAAATTTTTAAAACGAATGTATAATATATAATTATCAATATCACTTTTCAAAAGAAGAAAAAAGGTGGCTGATGAAGGGCCCTTTAAATTATAGAGGACTGACAAGTAAAGGAGAAAAAACCCTACAACTATCACCACCACCCCCACACATATACATATCATTCATCACTCACCACAGCACAATATTGGCGGTATATGAATCCTTTGCTTTTTCATTGAATCCTGGGGATGCATCCCCCTATCAGTGTCACATTACTTTTAAATTTCTTTCCCATTCCACCGGAGATACAGAGAGAAAGGTTAAAAGGCTGTGATATGACATGCAAATTTGTTATTTAC